AGCCTGGGGAGAAAGGTATTTTAATAATGTAAATTATGTGAAAAATAATGCGTTTTTCGAACCACCAAGCATGAGGGCATGTTCTAGTACACCCCCAAAACATAATCAAGACTTTGTAAATGAGCATAATAAGACCCCTTTAAGAATGTGTCAAAGTTATGAAAACCAAGCGTTCATCCCTTGCCATAGATGGCGCCAATCACCAAATACAGACTATGCACTGTTATTTTCTCTGTGCTGTCCTTCACGCCATCATCTCGTGATTAGTTAGTTGACCTAAGTCGAAAGTTGCCGGGATAGGGCACTGGAGTAACTGTGAGCAAGTAAGCGAGGGCCAGGATGAACACCGCGCTGAAACACTGGAGGGAGGCGGCGACGGTGATCTTGGCGGCCGGCCTGAGACACGCTCAGAGCGCGGACTCTCTTAAAACAGGTCTGGAGAAAGTGTCTGACATAGCGCACAGATCCGCCTTTGATTATCAAGTGCTGTTGCTAAAACGGAGCGGCAGCAGCGGCTTCATGCCCAATGCCTACGTGTTTCCCGGGGGGCTGGCGGACGCGTCTGACTTCTCCAGCGACTGGCAGGAGGTCTTTCAGTCCTTCACGAAAGCGCCCAACTACGGCATTGGAGTCGTGAAGCAGCCGCCGGAGACCAGACCGCCCATTTTCGCCACTGACAGAGCGCAGCTGGGATCCCCGATCCCCGGAGACGTGGCTTTCAGGATATGTGCAGTGAGAGAGACGTTTGAGGAGTCCGGTGTGCTCCTGGCGGTCCCCAAACACGAGGAAAGCGGCATTCGCGTGCGCACAGATGATGCTCGGGACAGTGACCCCCAGCCAACCCTGACCACACTGAGCGGACTGTGGGACAGAGACGTGCTGTCCAAGTGGAGGTCTCTGGTTGTTAGTGACTCGGCGACACTGGAGGGAGGCGGCGACGGTGATCTTGGCGGCCGGCCTGAGACACGCTCAGAGCGCGGACTCTCTTAAAACAGGTCTGGAGAAAGTGTCTGACATAGCGCACAGATCCGCCTTTGATTATCAAGTGCTGTTGCTAAAACGGAGCGGCAGCAGCGGCTTCATGCCCAATGCCTACGTGTTTCCCGGGGGGCTGGCGGACGCGTCTGACTTCTCCAGCGACTGGCAGGAGGTCTTTCAGTCCTTCACGAAAGCGCCCAACTACGGCATTGGAGTCGTGAAGCAGCCGCCGGAGACCAGGCCGCCCATTTTCGCCACTGACAGAGCGCAGCTGGGATCCCCGATCCCCGGAGACGTGGCTTTCAGGATATGTGCAGTGAGAGAGACGTTTGAGGAGTCCGGTGTGCTCCTGGCGGTCCCCAAACACGAGGAAAGCGGCATTCGCGTGCGCACAGATGATGCTCGGGACAGTGACCCCCAGCCAACCCTGACCACACTGAGCGGACTGTGGGACAGAGACGTGCTGTCCAAGTGGAGGTCTCTGGTTGTTAGTGACTCGGCGAATTTTATTAAGATGTGCAAGGAGCTGCAGTGTCTGCCCAACATCTGGGCTCTACACGAGTGGGGCAACTGGCTGACCCCCATAAGCATGCACGGCAAACAGAGGCGCTACGACACGGCCTTCTACATCTGCTGTCTGCGCGACACGCCACACACGCTTCACGACGAGAAGGAAATCGTTCATTTCAGGGTGCGTTTTGAACAGTAATTAGCACGTTGACAGTCAGATTAAAAACTACATATCAGACTTACGTTGCATTGAAGGTATATTTGATCAATTTACGCATTCGCGACCAATTTGTGTCCAGCTGGCGAAATAACTTGGACTTTTCTCAGCGTTGACGTGCTGCATATTTCTTGGAGCTCATTAATATTCATGAGGCTAGCGCTCATTCGCCAGCTAGGCAGCGCCCACTTAACGCAGGTGGCTGAACGTCACGTAACGTCACTGTTATTCATTAATATAACATTTTTATAGTAGCTTTTAAGTCATTCAGTCTCATCCGAACTAGTACAAATGATGCTTAACTTTTGGGAAATACACACTGCCTTGTTTCTCAGTGGTCCAGTCCCTCTGAAGTGCTGCACAGCTATAAATCAAAGGAGATCTGGATCGCTCCACCTCAGTTCTACGAGCTTGGACGCATGTGCCGGTGTCCAGCTCTCGCAGATCTCCATCGCTTTGCCTGGCAGAGGTCTTTGGGGGGTTGCGAACAGTGGCTGCCTGTTCACCTGGTGGCGCCTGACTGCTTTGCAAGCATTTTACCAGGTAATAAATTAAGACATTTCTGCTAATTATCGCCTCTTTATCAAACAATGTTTCTCTTCATTAATACACAGGGGATGCTCTGTACCCGGAAAAAGTGGACCGTTCTGTTAAGGGCGGCGGCGTGATGAAAACTGAGAAAAGTCTTGAAGAGCTCCAGCAGGACAGTGCAAACCTGCACCGTATCGTCGGCCAGGATCCATATTCAATAACTGTCCGAATGAACATCACACCCAAGTATAACCACCTGTCTCCTCTCTTCGGTACAGATGTGGACAACCCCTCCAAAAACCATAGTAAACTCTGACACTTACCTTCCAAACAGGTGCAGGACTGATGGACAGAAACTGTTTTTTTTTGTAAATCAGCTCATTTCTACCTACTGATGTGGAACGTGAGCCATTCAGTGTAGTTAAAACATATGGCCTCCCTAACGTGTTATAAAAATGATAAACAAGACTACCTTGTTGATGTGACAACTGCTGGTACCATGATAAAAAAAGAAAGTGCATTAAAAAAGATTACCAGGTGTAAAGTTTGAATTGTCACAGTTCTTCATTAATGTAATATTCCAGAGGAGGCAGTAAAGGGTAAATGGCACTTTGAATTGTTTTCATTTGTTGAAAGCTCTCAACTTTTTCATGCTTTTTGAGTTTGCTGAATACAGGACTCTACAAGCAAAAAATAACTTGGAACAATTGTGTACAAAAATTGCATTTGTCTGATTTATGGCTAGCATATATAATCAACCAATTACAACAAATCTGACTGTAGCAGCAGCTATTGCATATTTATTTATAGTACTGACTAGGATAAATCATTTAAATGTAGGTTAAGTACAATGAGTAGTAAATCATGAATTGTCATTATGTGATTGAAAAACTCTAAAGTCACATTTGAATTAAAACGGAAGCATGATGTGCATTTCTGGCATCTTTAAATTAAGAAAAAATGAATTCAGACACAATGTGTGTGAATGTTTTCAAACAGTTTAATCATACATAAACTAAAGATAAACGACCAGATGCCTGCTTCGTGGGTGTCCATTATGCTATATTTCTGTAGAGACAGTAGCGTGAAATCCTTAACCAACCTTATACAACACATTTGTTTCAGACATTTAATAAATTCTGCACTCTCTACACTTCCAATGAAAACCACACAACTTAAATGACAAAACAACTAATAAAAAAAAAAACATCTTTATTTAAAGGCTTTTTTGTGGAGTTGATTTTTGTTTGCATTTTGGTTACTTTGTACAGGTTGAAGTTTGGTCATGGTGTTACTGTCTTCATGCTTCTACTTACTGGGATTTACATTGTGAAACAACTTATGAAGTAGAAAAATCTGTACAAATCTTAAATGTTAAATACAATCACTCTGTACCAGCAATGACAAACATCCCACAGGAAAGAGTACATTTAAACTCACAAAACAGCAGCTTAAAATCTAAATAGAAAATAACCACCTCAACCCCCAAATAGATTAGTCTGTCAGAATACATCTTTTAAAAAAAGAGAGAGAAAAAAACTTCCAAATGTAGCTCTTCATTTGTGGAGATATGCCTGTAAACTAAAGGCTAAGGGGGCAAAGCTGCAGTTGAGCTCTACCAATCAGTCCAGAACGTCACAACTTGTACAGATGTCAGAATGGGAAAGAAAAAAGAAAATGCTTGCAAGCTCTGTAAAACAGACCAGCTATAAGGTCGTAACACATTTTCATTAACTGAACAACATTAAGAAGAGCATGTGTTTTTGCTGCTGTAGGCACAATTTATCTCTAAGGACTCATTTGAAACCTACTTAAATTTTTAGAACAATACATTGTTAAAACTCACTTTAACCCATAACCTAAACACACACCGTATTGTTTTTTAAATCTTAAACCATCAAAATGAGACCACGTCATTGCAGCACGAGCCATAAGCATGATGTGAAACATACTGTAAATGTAACCAACAGCAACATGCAAAACTTTTGGCACCACTTTATTCATCTTGAATTTTTGAAACAGAACTAGATCACATTTTGCTGAGGATTTCAGTGCACTTACAAAAAAACATGCATGCTTAATATTTACCTGTGACAAGATATTCAACTCTGCTCATTCTATGCATTATTTCAGACTAATCCTGATTTTCACACAATAAGGAAATGAAAAACGTGTGCCTGTGTTGGCTCGACACACAAAGAAGAAAAAAAGGCAATTCAAGTGTCTATTGTAATGTCACTGTTTATAGAAACTCCCAAAATTACATCATGCCAACTAACCTAACACAAAATTACAAAGTTTATCCTCAATTTCAGCAAAATGTGACGAAAACATCCTCTAAAAGGTTTAGAACTAACAAGTGAGAGAAAGAGGGAAACACACCCACACTTGAACACACAAAAGTGATTCTACAAACTGAATGGCTGCTTTGAGAAGAAAAACAAAAACCAAAAAGGAGTACAATCAGAAGCGCTAGGAAGACTGCTGGAAAACAATAAAAATCAGTAAAGAACAAAATCTGAAAAATTAAAAGCTGCAAAAATCTAGTGGTTATAGTGTTTGTACGTTCTAGAAAAATAGACTCTTTGCTCAGAACAATTTTCATGAAACGTTTTACACTTTTAGCAGTCTTTCTAACGCTCCCTATTGGCAGCACAAATGACAAATGAACATCACACAAAGAAACAAACAAAAGTAATCAATAAGCGTCAAAAGTTAACAAAAAGGTCAAGTGTGAAATTTCAAGCGTCAGAGAAGCGAAGAGGACAACGGACTGGACGATGAACTTTTGACGTCACATCGACATGCTAGGCAAACGATGACAAACGGGCACGAAGATATCTAGAACAAAAACAAACAAAAAAAACAAATAACAAACCTAGGTTAAAGCACAACGGAAAAAGGAGAGGGGATGAAAAAGAAAATCATGAATGATTATGTTTGCATGAGGAGGGGGCTTTCGTAGGTGCACACATCATCTAAACACAAAACATTGAATGCAACACAGGAAACGATGAAGAAAAGTGGGAAGAATAAGCACCATGCCAACAGTGAACAAAGGGAATAACATTAAACATCAACAACACCGAGAGACAACACAACCTGCCTACTACAGCTACGACAATACTGTCCTCGACAGCAACATTTCAAATGAAAATGTTCGATTTCTCACAACCGCATTTCGATTTTAGACCAAGGGGAAGAGAGGGAAACAAAAAGAAAAATTGTGCTTCAACGTTTCAGCTCTTTCAGTGAAAGTCCTTTTATTTTGTGCTTCAATTTTGAATTGTGAGGGACTGTGGAATAATGCATATTTGGAGCTGGTCATATTGGTTCTCGTTCACAAAACACCCGTCATGGGAAACACAAATGGATACAATTTAGCTACACTGAACTCCGTGAAGGACAACAACATGATGGGACACAGCGCAGAACAGAGTATCATCATTAAACGTATACAGAAATTTAAGACTCGATGTGTTTGGCACATTAGTGGAACGTCTCTGCACTTGTGAGCTGTTTTAAGGCGCACAAATCCGCAGATCTTTGCACAAACGACAGTCAATCTGCTCCGGATAAAAATAAATAAATAAAAAAAAAAAAAAAGGAACAAAACTATGAAAAAATTCTGCCTAACAAACAAAAATCCCTGCCTAGAACAAGTTCACAAGAATCTTTGGATTGTTCAAAATGGTGATTTGTGTTGCACTCCCATTTTTCTTCCACTTAAAATCAAACTGGCCCCGAAAAAAAAAAAAAAAAAAAAAAAAAAAAAAAAGGAACAAAACTATGAAAAAATTCTGCCTAACAAACAAAAATCCCTGCCTAGAACAAGTTCACAAGAATCTTTGGATTGTTCAAAATGGTGATTTGTGTTGCACTCCCATTTTTCTTCCACTTAATGGTTTTGTAATGCATGTAAATCCTGCTTTTATTTGAACAGAGGCACAGATCAGGGACTGGACATTCCCTGCACTCGCATCTAAGCGCTTCAAGAGGGGCTTCACACCTGGGTTGTCTAAAGCGTCTCTAACGTATGAAACAAACCGGCATCTCTGTACAAGTTGCCAGACAGCGGCACACTCGTTCCCTCACCCGGACTGAGATCTGCACTCGTTGAAAATAGATAGTGAGGTTAACAAGAATTGGCTTATTCGCAATTAATCAGTGAAAATAAAAAGCGCCGTTAATAAATACAAGTCTGTCGAACAGCGACGACAATAGTGAGGTAAATGTCAAAACAAAAGAAAATAGTCTACAATTTTCACTAACTGCCACTCCGAGCTCAAGTTATGTTGTGAGGAAATGAAACAAACGACTTCTGATAATAACATTTCAGCATTCGTCACAACACATGTAAATTATGTACTTAATTTAGAGATATTACACGAAGTATAAACTTTAGACTGAACCGTGGATTTGCTTCAGACTTAAAAAGGAAAAAAAACTACTCTTGGTACTATTTTTTTTTTTTTTACTAAACAGACGCCACTACAACTAGTAAAAAGGGCCACATATCCGTTGTTTAAACAATCGGTGAATATATCCACACAACTTCACATTAGGATTCTACAAAAACACTGTTGAATCTTTTGAGTTGATTTTTTTTTTTAAACAACCACTTTAATTCAGAGAAATTATTTAGGCAATATTATAAAACCTCTATAAAAATAGAAAAGGCATAATAGTTAAGTAATATACACTATCTGGATAATGTTTTCTTAAGTTTCCATAAAAACAATCTTACCTCATGACCCTGCAGGACTCAGATTGGCATTAACATTTGATTACGATTTGAACACTTATTTACTGCCATGGTCAACTGAAGCAAGTTGCATGGAGTAACTTAGAATTACAAACTAGAATAGGATTGCAGGACGAGTCTCCATACACCAGGGTACAAGAGACCACCTGCAAACACAGAGATTAAATACTTATTGAACACAAATTGCCACGAAAGTTAGGAAATTTTCGTTCAAATTACTCTGACAATTAAGCGGCCATGAATTCAGCAATTGCAAACTTCCTTCTTTCTTTTCTTGGCAGTATCGTCTCTCACTCTTCTCCAGAATGCAAATATTGCTAAAAGCTTCAACCCCAACCTCCTCAATTGAGGCGTAGGATAATGTATCAAATGACCATCAAAATAAAAATCATGTTGTAGATTGTGTCTTTGCTAAAAAAAAAAAATCGATACAAATGGCATTTTAAAACCATATGTGCTACCATGTGATTCTTCAGCAAAAATCTTGGGTCAAAAAAAGGTTTGTTTTTGTTTGAGGCTTTAAGAAAGGATTCGTGAACTGAAATGAAGCACTTATTTCATACATATTCTTTAGAAATGTTCACGTACCAGGTGAGTAGAATAATGGGCGAAAAGTTTTGGTCTGACAGAATGGTGAGAATGTCCTGAGAGTAAGTGTAGCATCTCCTGCAAACTACCAATACTGAATGATTAACCACCACATGGGATATAATACCCTTGCTTAGTGTTTGTCTTTTTAGAATGTAAAAATATGAATGTGAATAAAAACAAACATAAAGCATCAACATTACGGTTTTTAGCTGAGCCCTCCAACAGAATACATAAAACAGACTTTGAAGCAATGTTACATCACCCTCATTGTGAAGACACAGATACATTAAAAATAAATAAATAAATTAGTGAAATAAATACATGAATGAAATAAAAAGGCATCCATGAAAACAAAATCTAGTGGAGTGCAGACTGACCTTCCAGATGCTCAAAACAATATTCAGGTGACTGACTGATTATCTTTTGCACCGATGCAGCAAGCCTCCTTTATTTTCTAGAAAGGCAGCATTGTAGGAGGCATCAGCATTACACTGTACCAATGTACTACAAGAGTCTAGCGTAAACACAGGAGAACATCTACAGGGGCCAGACCGTGGTGATCAACAGTCTAAGGGACTGAAAGCAGTCGCACAGGCTGGCTTTCATTGTGCAACATCCTTTGACGCAAGATTTATACACAGCAAACTTGTAATATGGCACCAAAAAAAAAGGAAAATAAAAGATCAACAAAACAATTAGATATATAATTGTGGAAAACAAAAATTAACTCTTTACTCCTTGGAACAAATTCTTAATTTGCATGTTGTCTTTCTTTTGAAGGTTAAGAGAGAAGATATGTAGGAAAGGCCAGAGAAATAAAAGGAGGATTAGGAAAGGCGGGTGTTAAAGAGTGGGTGGGGTCATTCTAACGTCACACTCCACTTACCAGAAAAATTTTTTCAAACCAAGTCCATTTGAGAGTAAAATCACTCAGTATGGCTTGCTGTCATTTTTGGATCGTTTAAGTTGCACCTTCAGCCGCTTCATTCCAATCTGGAAACCGTTCATTGACTGAATGGCCGCCTGGGACGAAACTGGATTGTCGTAACTAACAAAGCCTGACACAAAACAAAAGAGCCAGACTCTAGTTACCCACTGCATAGAACACGCATCTAAAGCTTGCTTCTGATTTCAGAACTCGAAACCAACACAAAACCAGCACAATGTTTCTGGAATGGGGCTCAACTCACCAAAACACTTGCTAAGGTTGGTCTGTTTGTCAATAAAGACCTTGGCAGAGATAACACTGCCGAAAGGCATAAACATCTGCAGCAAATCCTGATCACCAAACTCTTGTGGCAGATGGTAGATGAACAAGTTTGCTCCTTCGGGGCCTTTAGAAAGACAGAGAGGAAACAGACAGAAACAAAGAGAACTTTTGACTCTTAAAGCCCTAGTGACCTTTTTATTTTCAATGAAGCTTCGACACTTCTTCTCCTCGCCTAGTTAAAAGAACATTCTGTGTTAAATATCATTTAAGCATGCTGCTGATCACCACAGAAAATAATAAAGACATCCCCCCCAAGTTGATCAAATTCATGTAGGCAAAACTATCATATTGGAGGGTCTGTATTTTGTTAAAACATTTGAACTGAATTAATTAACAGGTTTAGTGCCTGATTTGTAAAGTTGGATAATTGTCTAGGTTAATGAAGGTCTGGTTAAGCATTACCGTCATAATTACTGTGGGTGAGTTTTGCTACAGACTTGAAATCATAGCTGCGACTGTATATACATATACATACACACATGCACATATACATATACATATACATATACATATGTGTGACCCTGGACCACAAAACCAGTCTTAAGTCGCTGGGGTATATTTGTAGCAATAGCCAAAAATACATTGTATGGGTCAAAATAATAGATTTTTCTTTTATGCCAAAAATCATTAGGATATTAAGTAAAGATCATGTTCCATTAATATATTTTGTAAATTTCCTACTGTAAATATATTAAAACTTAATTTTTGATTAGTAATATGCATTGCTAAGAACTTAATTTGGACAACTTTAAAGGCGATTTTCTCAGTATTTTGATTTTTTTGTACCCTCAGATATCAATGAAATCTTATTTATTCAGCTTTCAGATGATGTATAAATATCAATTTCGAAAAATTTACCCTTGTGACTGGTTTTGTGGTCCAGGGTCACAAATATATAAAAAAAGGATCAAATGTGGCCTTTTTTCTGAACTTTTATTCAGCAATTGATCAAATGTGACAGAAAATACATTTATAATTTTAGAATTTAGAAAATTAGCTTTAGAGCTTTTTTATTCAACAAAGATTAATGAAATAACATATCCTGGTTTCCACAAAAATAGAAACCCTTTGTTTTCAACACTGATAATCGCAAATGTTAACAAAGTAGCAGCACAGAAGCATCTTCCAGCAGGCTTGAAGTTGTTTTTAATCACAGAATGCTCAATTAATTAATTGGCAGAGAGCTGCTGGTATGGATCTCCATTTACTTTTAAACAAACCAAAATGTAGAAAATGGGCATTGTGGACAGTGATAATTATCTCTTACCCGCGCTCTGATTGGGACTTGCTGTTGCAGCGTATTTAAAACAAGAATGAATCCTTAAGATGGTGATCACAAGAGCCACATCTACACACACACACACACTGAAAAGCATCATGGGCCAACACATGCCCTAAAAACTGACCCTGCTAGCATAAACTAGCAGTTTTATCTTACACAGAGGCTGGCAATCTCCCAACCTGAAAAGCTGCTCAAAGCTCATCAGATCATTCATGTGCTCACCTTCCTTCTGGCTGCCAGCGGCACTAACGTTCTGCTGGGACAGTAAACTCTGACTGTAGAGGCTGGGCAGAGCGGCAGCGGCATATTGCTGGATCCCAGAATAGGCTGCCTGAGTCAGAGCCTCCATAGCACTGCCCGAGCCGTTCAAGAGACCTCCGCTGCCCAGACCACCATTTAGAGCAGCCATGCCTGCACACAGAAACACAGCTCAGCATTCAGACACACACAGGGGAGGACACATTAAACTACTGATAGATACAGAGAAACCGCATTCAGAGACGGAGACAGAGTAGAAACAGAAATGAGGCAAAGAAAGTTCAAACAAAAAAAGGAATGACACATAGATCCCATTTAACATCCATTTGAGGCACTTCGAACACGAGTGGTCAGTACTTAACATTGATGCCAATGGGGTCCAAAACGTACATTTAGAGGTACTTCAAAATACATACGATCACATCATACTGGTACTGTAATGCAAAGGATTAAAAAAAAGATTTAAAGTATTTAAATGCAACAGTGTGCTGACTTGTGTACTTTTTTTGGTAACGCGTCTCAGCTGACCACTTGTGTTCACGTCACCTGAGATGGATTTCAATAACAGGTGTAAACCAGTGTTAATTTTGACAGCAAATTTTGATTTCGCTTTTGTCATAGCCTTTTGACTAAAATGCCATTTAATTTGTCATTTCAATCTTCTGAATTGTTTTAGTTTTAGTCGGCTAAACCTACAGTTAATTTAGTGAGCTAAAATCTAATGGGTTTATTTACAGTGTAATGCATTTATTAAGCATTTCTCTAAAATTTCCAAACTCATTATATAGGTTAGATATTAAGGTTTTATCATGATAGACACCAATTTAACTGCAGTGACACACAACATGCCTTTATATTAAAATGAAATAAAACCACTTCTCATAAAGAACAAGAACATGGTCTTCTTTTTAATGAAATACCAATGGTTATATAGGCTAATTATGCATTCTTTATGACGACTTGATTACCACATTCTTCATTCTCTCAAGCAGACATCTATTTTTTATAAATGAATTTAGATTAATCTTTATTAGGGCTACTAAAGTTATTCAGTCAAGAGCAGCGAGTGATTTTCTGCTTTTCTTTTGTTGCTTGATCAACAAATGACTCGGACAATGGCAACTAAATTAGGCTGCTGTCCCTTTAAAACTGAATGCACGGATGCAATGTACTGATACACATCCAATATTCTCCCTACTGTTCACTTAAGACATAATCGACTGTGTTTACATGAATACTCGTCAAAACGGACAATTCAACATCATTTTGCGTGTACTTCTCTATTCATGCGACACAAAAGAAAAAACTCTTTCTGTGTGTATGCTTCAGTGTGTGTGCTCAGAAAACCGGACCGAATTGAGTTCTGTTTTGCGTAATTAAATTTATCCATATGTCTGCTCTTCTCTTACTCCCAGATATTGACATTTTTGAACATTTTGAGATGTGTATGTTAGCTTATGTCCCGCCAGATAGATCAATAAGCTATGATACAGTTAAGATTGTACACATTGAACCTCCTAACCACGCGCAGCAGATTCCTTCTGACTCAATCTCTTCCCAAATCGTCCCTCCCTAACACTGGTCTCATTTTTATTTGACAAAAATGTCAACAGATTTCCATCATAGTTTTTGTCATTCAAAACAAGTTTTAGTTTGTTATCTCGTTTTCATTGGTGAAACAAATGACGTTGACGAAAATTATCTGTCAACGAAATTAACACTGGTGTAAACAGGATCTTTAGAAACCATCTGACCTCATACAAAAAAAAAAAAAGAGCTTTCTTTTTCTTACTTGCTAGGGAACTCATGTTGAGACCTGCTCCAGCACCCGCAGCAAGAGACTGAAGAGCACCTAAAGACGCCATGGGGTTCACAGAAGAACTAGTACTGGAGGTGGGAGAGGAACCTGCTGTGCAGAGGAGAGAAAACAAGAACCAGCTCTGACACATTACTAAGCCATCACACATCTTACCAATGCAAATTTCACAGACAGAGAAGAAACAGCAGACAGTGTCAATGTCAGTGATCAAATAACAAAAGACAGCTTTTTGAAGCAACTGATGGGAAGTATCAAGACTAAGGGTACGTAGAATGATGCATGAGAAACAAGAGATGTAAAAAAAAAAATAATTACACAGTTGTTTAGGTTTGGAGAAACTGGCAACATTTTACAATAAGGTTCAATTGGTTAAAGGATTAGTTCACTTCCAGAATAAAAATGTCCTTTTCCTGTTGAAGCTAAATAGAAACTGCAATTTGAAGTGCACTATATGGAGAAAAAAACCTGAAATGTTTTCTTCAAAAACCTTAATTTCTTTTCGACTGAAGAAAGAAAGACATGAACATCTTGGATGACATGGGGGAGTGAGTAAATTATCAGGAAATTTTTATTCTGCAAGTGAACTAATCCTTTAACATTAACTGTCATGAACTAACATTGAACAATACTTATAGCATTTATTAAGCTTGGTTAAAATTTCTACATATGCTAATACATCTTTAATATCAAACATAAATTAACATTAGTTCAAGTGTTACGAATGAACACTAACCTAAGATTAATAAAAACGACACTATATAACTTCTGGCCTTTTTTTGGCACTGATGACTTGAGGTGTACCTGCTTCGAAGCGCAAATGTCACTATCAACACCAAAACCCCCCACAAGCAATGTTCCCTCTAATTTTTTTTCTTGCTGAGCAAAACTTTTCTCTATTGGGCGGACATTTCGGGCACCTGAGCAAAAACATTCTTTATACCAGACCTGTACAAGCGCGTACACAAAAAAATGGGTAACTTTTACCTTTAATGTGCTATTTATATTTGATTTGACCCTTGATGTAACTAAATGATGTACATTTTAGGTTACCTAAGAAAACATGTTTTATATTATAATACACTGCCGTTCAAAAGTTTGGGATCAATAAAGTTTTTTTTAAAGAAGTGTCTTATGCTCATCAAGGCTGTAGCCTATCTATTTGATTAAAAATTACTGAATATTATTTCACAAAATAATATTGTGAAATATTATTGCAATTTAAAATAAACTTTTTCTATTTTAATATACTTTAAAATATAATTAATTCCTGTGAAGCAAAGCTGAATTTTCAGCATCATTACTCCAGTCTTCAGTTGTCACATGGTCCTTCAGGAATCATTCTAATATGATGATTTATTATCAATGTTGGAAACAGTTGTACTGCTTAATATTTTTTGGGACCTGTGATATTTAAAAAAAAAAAAAAAAAAAGTTAAAAAGAAGAGTGTTTATTCAAAATAGAGATTTTGTGTTACAATATACACTATTCAAAAGTTTGGGGTGAGAATTTTTTTTTTCTTTCTTCTTTAAAGATACTTTTAAAAAGTTTAAAGAAAGTTAAAGAAACTTTATTCAGCAAGGATGTGTTAAATGGATTAAATTTATAGATTTATAAATAATAGATTTCTGAAGGATCATGGGACATTTAAGACTGGAGTAATGATGCTGAAAATCCAGCTTTGCATCACAGGAATAAATTATATTTTAAAGTATAGGTATTAAAATAGGAAACCAATATTAGAAATTGCAATAATATTTCACAATATCACTGTATTTCCCCTTCTATTTTTTAAATACAGCCTTGATGAGGAAGAGACTATTAAAAAAAGGTCAATTATTTATTAGGTTTATAATATAGGTCTAACATAATAATATAAAAAACAAACTATTTAAACTGATAGAATAGAATAGAAAACAAAATAAAAATAACGTGAACATATGAATTCTTCTATAGCTAAGCATCCCTATTAAGTAGTTTGCACAATACACCTGTGTGTGACTGTAGCTAAATGTCTCTGAGTTTTGTTACTGTTCTGTGCCCATCCTCCGCTATTTCCTGCACTTAATCAAGCCACTCTTCTTTAATACATGATGACGTTTATTTCACATGTCCTTGCATTTGCGTTGGTTCTCATGTTGAGCGCACCCATAGACTGTATAAAAACATGGATGTAGTGTCCGTGACGTCACCCGTAGATTTCCGAAGAGCGTTTTTGAAGCTCAAAAGTGGGCGGAGGCAGCCGTCACCATCTTGGCAGCGCGTCACTCCCGGATAATCGAAAATGGGCAAAGAGGCGGGAGCAGGTTGCTCAAGCCACGCCCACCTAGCTCCACGGTGGTGACAGCAGCGGCAATCCACCTGTCACTCAAGTGGCCACGCCCTTAATTATGCAGAACTTTAAGGCTTAATATAATTTAAACGGATGAGTTATAAAAAAATTCACCCCCCTCACAGTTGTCATGAAGGGCAAAATTAGCTATATAGACCAAAATCATTTTTTGAACTAACTGTGTTCTGTAGCATCTGCGCTGTGCTGCTAAAACTTTTGGATCTAGCTGTAATTATTTCCCACATCCAAGTTCCAGGTTATAATATGCGAAAGTCTAAACATTAATCTCTTAATTTTACAATCAGTAGTGAAATTTACCAAAAAAAAAAACCTTAAATATCTAAAAAATGCGCACTTAAGGGGCCCTCTTTTGGTGAAAGTTTTCAGACAGCTTTCAAAATGGATCCCCATATCTTAGTGTGCAATGATCTGATTGATTTGAAATTACACATTTTACATTTTACAATAAGGTTCAATTGGTTAAAGGATTAGTTCACTTCCAGAATAAAAATGTCCGTTGAAGCTAACTATATGGAGAAAAAAACCTGAAATGTTTTCTTCAAAAACCTTAATTTCTTTTCGACTGAAGAAAGAAAGACATGAACATCTTGGATGACATGGGGGGGTGAGTAAATTATCAGGAAATTTTTATTCTGCAAGTGAACTAATCCTTTAACATTAACTGTCATGAACTAACATTGAACAATACTTATAGCATTTATTAAGCTTGGTTAAAATTTCTACATATGCTAATACATCTTTAATATCAAACATAAATTAACATTAGTTCAAGTGTTACGAATGAACACTAACCTAAGATTAATAAAAACGACACTATATAACTTCTGGCCTTTTTTTGGCACTGATGACTTGAGGTGTACCTGCTTCGAAGCGCAAATGTCACTATCAACACCAAAACCCCCCACAAGCAATGTTCCCTCTAATTTTTTTTCTTGCTGAGCAAAACTTTTCTCTATTGGGCGGACATTTCGGGCACCTGAGCAAAAACATTCTTTATACCAGACCTGTACAAGCGCGTACACAAAAAAATGGGTAACTTTTACCTTTAATGTGCTATTTATATTTGATTTGACCCTTGATGTAACTAAATGATGTACATTTTAGGTTACCTAAGAAAACATGTTTTATATTATAATACACTGCCGTTCAAAAGTTTGGGATCAATAAAGTTTTTTTTAAAGAAGTGTCTTATGCTCATCAAGGCTGTAGCCTATCTATTTGATTAAAAATTACTGAATATTATTTCACAAAATAATATTGTGAAATATTATTGCAATTTAAAATAAACTTTTTCTATTTTAATATACTTTAAAATATAATTAATTCCTGTGAAGCAAAGCTGAATTTTCAGCATCATTACTCCAGTCTTCAGTTGTCACATGGTCCTTCAGGAATCATTCTAATATGATGATTTATTATCAATGTTGGAAACAGTTGTACTGCTTAAAATTTTTTGGGGCCTGTGATATTTAAAAAAAAAAAAAAAAAAAGTTAAAAAGAAGAGTGTTTATTCAAAATAGAGATTTTGTGTTACAATATACACTATTCAAAAGTTTGGGGTGAGAATTTTTTTTTTCTTTCTTCTTTAAAGATACTTTTAAAAAGTTTAAAGAAAGTTAAAGAAACTTTATTCAGCAAGGATGTGTTAAATGGATTAAATTTATAGATTTATAAATAATAGATTTCTGAAGGATCATGGGACATTTAAGACTGGAGTAATGATGCTGAAAATCCAGCTTTGCATCACAGGAATAAATTATATTTTAAAGTATAGGTATTAAAATAGGAAACCAATATTAGAAATTGCAATAATATTTCACAATATCACTGTATTTCCCCTTCTATTTTTTAAATACAGCCTTGATGAGGAAGAGACTATTAAAAAAAGGTCAATTATTTATTAGGTTTATAATATAGGTCTAACATAATAATATAAAAAACAAACTATTTAAACTGATAGAATAGAATAGAAAACAAAATAAAAATAACGTGAACATATGAATTCTTCTATAGCTAAGCATCCCTATTAAGTAGTTTGCACAATACACCTGTGTGTGACTGTAGCTAAATGTCTCTGAGTTTTGTTACTGTTCTGTGCCCATCCTCCGCTATTTCCTGCACTTAATCAAGCCACTCTTCTTTAATACATGATGACGTTTATTTCACATGTCCTTGCATTTGCGTTGGTTCTCATGTTGAGCGCGCAGCGTGTCACCGCGCGTCACTCCCGGATAATCGAAAATGGGCAAAGAGGCGGGAGCAGGTTGCTCAAGCCACGCCCACCTAGCTCCACGGTGGTGACAGCAGCGGCAATCCACCTGTCACTCAAGTGGCCACGCCCTTAATTATGCAGAACTTTAAGGCTTAATATAATTTAAACGGATGAGTTATAAAAAAATTCACCCCCCTCACAGTTGTCATGAAGGGCAAAATTAGCTATATAGACCAAAATCATTTTTTGAACCAGGCTGTAAACATGTTTTTTTCTGCTGTAAAGTTGGGCATTTTAACATGGGGAGTCTATGGGACTGACTCCCTTTTGCAGCCAGCCTCTAGCGGCCAGTTGATGAATTACAGTTTAAGTCACTTCCTTGTTGGCTTCACAAGAGAGAGGGGGAGGTTGCCGCTTGAGCGCACCGCAACCATTGAAGTATTCGGTTTCTACAGCGACTCATTTGGCACACATTCTCTTTCTATGAAACCTGTAAACCGCATTCACCGGTTCTAACTCTATAGCGACATCAACTCTATAGCGGTTTGCCAGGGCATTGCAATTCATTCGCTTTTACTGGCATTCAATCAAATGGCTTTCCCCAACTCATTTTTGCGTGTGCGCGGCACATTATTTCTTCTGTGCGGCCGCACGAGAGGGAACATTGCCCACAAGAATGCTTTTTCTTAGGAGGAATTTTAGTCTTAAGAATGCTTAATGAATCTGGCCCTTGACCTTCTTTCTTTCTTACTCGCTCATTATTTAAATAATGAATGCATGGTGCAGCCTCAATAATTGCTATTTAATCAAAAAAAATTTAAGTAGTTGTTAATTGTTAGTTCATGATACCTAATGCATTAACTAAAGCCAACGTATTGAACTTGTAACATTTGTTATTGACCAAAAACCTTACAAAGAGACTGATAAGAAGCAAAGTTAAGGACAGGAGGAGATTAAAAAGCGGGACCAACCCTTGTAGGCGTCCCAGGCAGATTGAGCGGGCTGTCCGGAGAGCGTACCTGAGCTGGTGAGGACGCTGAGAGGGGAGCTGGAGGTGGTCAAAGCACTACTACCTGTGGGGGTGGCCTGCGTAGCACTTGCTGCTGCCGCTAATGCAGCCAAATTCTGCATGGCATTCAGACCTGCCACAGATAGCAGACCACCCACATCAAAACGGCATCAATATCGCCAACATTCACATGCACAACCTCCTTTCATTGCCCTAAAACTAACAGGCAGTCTCAACTAATTTTATAGGCATGCAATATAACAGGTTTACAAGTGGCTAACTAACAGCCGCCATGCTCTCTAACGGGTCTGAGTGGAGCAGAGCGCATCAGACTCTCACCTGACATTGGATGGAGATTGTTGAGTGGATTTCCAGAGGACGCAGACTGTTGTAGAAGCTGCAAATAAAGCTAGACATTACATCAAAACAGAGAACAGAGAGAGTCAGGACTGCATCCAGGACTGGAGAGGAGAGGAGAGGAGAGGAGAGGAGAGGAGAGGAGGAGGATAAATCAGGCAACAAGGCAAAATAAAGACAAGCAGGAGCACATGTAGAGACAGAAACAAAGACGAGCAAAATGTGGACATTCAAGGGATATATAAAAATTAGAAGGGGACTGAGAAGAATTAGAAGGGAGAAAGATGAAGATAGAAATAGTTTTCACAGCACACCCATGGAGCAGCACTAACACATTCAAACAGGGCTACACATCTATGCTGGCCCACATGAGAAAAACCAGTAAACAGTACCTGAGTTTTAGGAGTAGCCAATCATAAACAATCAACAAGGATTTTGAGAAGCCAAATTAAATGCATCTAAATAATGGCCAAACACAGACCTGTAGCCCATGTGCTCAAACACAGCAGAAAAACACAGCAACATTTTAAAGGCGAATTAAGGGCCTTTCGCACCGCTTTAGTTCCAGAACTAAATGTTGGTTCTCGAAAAAGGCAGTCCGGTACTAAAATCACACCCAGTTCCGGCGGTGCGAAAACGCCAAAAAGTGGGTAGTTCCACAATTAGTTCTGGTACTGTGAAAAGGTTCCCGCGGTGCGAAAGGCTCTTTAGACTCTGATTAAAAGGCTCTAATGGAATCTAAATAATAATGCATTACAGTCTGAATAAAAAAAAAATATATATATTTTAGATGGAGCTAAGGGTGTCGCAATATAGTGGCACTAAAGACAACAGTGATATTTAAAAAATAAAATAAAATACTGATATCATGTTAATACTACACTTCTTGATAATCTTGTAAATAATCATGTGCCATTATCTGTTAATTAATATCTAATTATTAATTATAGGCATGGTTTCTATGTGCATAGACCTCAGATACAACAGGATCTGTCCTGTGTACTCACTGCAAGATACTGTGGCCCTAGTGAGTTCAGTCCTGTAAGATTTCCCCACATGGAGGCAGCATTGAGCTGTTGCATCTGTTGCTGCAGCTGTTGGGTGATACGTTTCTGTTCTTTATCCTTCTGCGTGTCTGCAAACTTTACTACAACAGGAGAAGAACAGCCCTACGGGACACATGCAAACAGAAATGAAAATGCAGCACTGAATTTAATTTAATAAAAATAAATGTAAGCAGCCAAGAAAATATCAATAAACAGTAAGTTTTCACCAATATGTATAATTAACATCTGTTTCAGCAGTGCCTCAGCCTTTTAAAATACACTACCATTCATAAATTTGGGGAAAGTATGATTTGGATGAATGTAAAGTAGTGAGTGTACAGCTTGTATAACGGTGTAAATTTGCTGTCCCCTCAAAATAACAACACACAGCCATTAATGTCTAAACTGCTGGCCACAAAAGTGAGTACACCCCTAAATGAAAATGTCCAAATTGGGCCCAAAGAGTCAATATTTTGTGGCGCCACCATTATTTTCCAGCACTGCCTTAACCCTCTTGGGCATGGAGTTCACCAGCGCTTTACAGGTTGCCACTGTATCCTCTTCCACTCCTCCATGACGACATCACGGAGCTGGTGGATGTTAGAGACCTTGCGCTCCTCCACCTTCCATTTGAGGATGCCCCACAGATGCTCAATAGGGTTTAGGTCTGGAGACATGCTTGGCCAAGCCATCGCCTTTACCCTCAGCTTCTTTAGCAAGGCAGTGGTCGTCTTGGAGGTGTGTTTGGGGTCGTTATGTTGGAATACTGCCCTGCGGCCCAGTCTCCGAAGGGAGGGGATCATGCTCTGCTTCAGTATGTCACAGTACATGTTGGCATTCATGGTTCCCTCAATGAACTGTAGCTCCCCAGTGCCGGCAGCACTCATGCAGCCCCAGACCATGACACTCCCACCACCATGCTTGACTGTAGGCAAGACACACTTGTCTTTGTACTCCTCACCTGGTTGCCGCCACACACGCTTGACACCATCTGAACCAAATAAGTTTATCTTGGTCTCATCAGACCACAGGACATGGTCCCAAGCAGACTAAATGTGAGTATGCTTGCTCACTTCTGTGAGATACTGTATATATATATATATATATATATATTACACTGTATTGTTGACCAAATAAATGCAGCTTTGGTGAACACAAGAGACTTCTTTCAAAAACATTTTTAAAACATCTTAATGATACTACTTTTGAATGGTAGTGTAACTTCTACACAATAAAACATAGAAACAGTACTTGCTGTATACTATGCATTAAGGCATAGGCATTTATCATCTCTTAAGCACAGAAATATCAAGCTTAAATGCAGAAATGGTATGCGTGTATGTGTGTGTTTACCTCCATGGTCTGTGACTGGTGCATGGATTTGATTGCAGACTGGGCCATCTGTCTCGCTGTGAATGTGACGAAGGCACAGCCTGCGGACAGAGTTGACAAGTATGAAAGTAGATCACAAAAGGACACCAACCTCTGTGATTAAACCATAACAGCATAAACTAGAAGTACTAATAAACTACCACACAGCAACACAACCTCAATCAAAACAGGGTTCAGGCCCGGTCTCTTTGGAGAGCGAATGGGTTTGAGGGCTGCTGAGTCAATATGGGTCGTGCCTATCACTTAAGCAGTTCCCATGGTGATGGACAGCAAGTTCACTCAAGCCAATTCTAAAATAAATAGCGTGGGCCTCAATGTGCGTTATGTTCCCTTGGTTACACTTTGGTTAACTTAAATCACAGTGATTCTCTACACCGCAGGTAAACAACAGCTAGAAACTAGGAGAATGACATTCCCAAATGAATGATTAAAGCGACCGTGCATATATTATCAATTTGTTGCAAGCAGTCACGGTTATATAACCTCTGATATCAGTTGCCATGTCTGGGATAAATGAAGTCATTTTCATTTGGGCCGACGGGAGCCAATTGAGTCTCATTTTTCTCTGATGGGTTGCGTCTGCAACTATTAGTTACGCAAAACACTGCCTCCTCGAAATAACTTAAATGAGAGTGAACAGAGTGACTGGTGAAGATGTACTTCATGTTTATTAGTGCGCTACTAGTGCCCTGAGGGGAAAAACGAGAAGCTGCTGAAGCTAAATTCATTCTTGTATGCGCTACAAGTCAAAACATTCACAGTACTGCCTCCATTCCTGTATTTGTGTGTATGGTATCCCATCATGTGTGTGTAATTTTGCTTTGGATGGCGATAGTGATGATATACATGCGTTCGAGTTCTCACCACGGCTCAGTCCGTCAGGGCCTCTCAGTATGCGGCACTCCTCAATTTGGCCGTATGGAGAAAACATGATCCTTATGTCATTCTCATTGCACTTCTTTGAAACCATTCCAACAAACAGCTTTCTGTCTTCTATCGCTGAAATACAAGAAAAGCGTGTTATGGCAGCACAGCCACTTTGACAGTCACTGGAAATTTCTTCAAGCGATACACTATTGCTCAAAGGTTTGGGGTCTATAAGATTTTGTATTGTTTTTGAAGAAAACATGTTCAACAAAGGCTGAATTTATTCGATCAAAAATACAGAAAAATGGAAATATTGTGAAATTACAATTTACTATAAATGTTCTATTTTAATATATTTAAAATGTAGTTTAATACTGTGATGACAATGCTGAATTTTCAGCATCATTTCAGTCTTCAGTGTCACATGATTCTGCAAAAATCAGTCTAATATGCTAAAGTCGTGCTCAATAAATATTTATTATCAATGTTGAAAACATTTTTGCTTTTTTTTGAAACCGTTTTGCTTTTTGTGGAAACAGTGATTTCAAATGAAAATCTTTTGTAACGTTATCAGTTAACTGTATCTTTGCTTTTTCTTTCTTAAATAAAATAAAAACTGACCCTAAATTTTGGAACATTAGCATATTTGAACAAAGGACTGTCATAATACTCTTGTACATTCAAGTCACTCACCATTGTTTTTCTCACTGTCTGCAGGCTTCATCTGTATGGGATGATGCATCTGTACAGAGAGAAAAAAAAAAATCACATTTGACTTATCAACACTGACATTTCCCAGCCGCCATGAGAAATCAGCTGTTTGAAAAGCTTTAACAGCTCCATTGGGTGTACTGAAAAAGCTTTTATAAAAGCATGTCAATACGTGTGTAGATTTGATGCATTTTTAAGAGCAATAAATAGTAGAAGGCCAGCTCATCTGACAACACGCATGAGGATTAATTTATTATTGATAATATATAAAAAAGTAGATCCTTTTCTCACCCCTGGAAGAATCTTCATGTTGTGAAGGGCATTTTGTGCTTCTAATGCAGATTTACGGGTGTAATATGTGACAAAACAACAACCTGCAAATGCAATAAATGGTCTGTGAACCAAGTCCAAGATGACAACATTTCCACTGAGACCAATTTCTAGAACTCCGTTCCAAATCCTAGTGAGCAGCATTTTAAGGAATCGTTGATTCCTTAATTAGTTCCTAATTTAATTAGGCTGCCATCTAAGACAACTTGCTTTTATGCAGCTCTGCATGTGTGTGTGTGCTCACTAGGTTTCGGAACGGACTAAAAGTTTTGAGAGTGACTGACATAGAAAATATCTCAATCTGCAGTGTACTGACTGTCAAGTACCTTTACTCTGTGCGGGATTCTGACTCCTGTCCCGAAGAACATTGATTTCATAAACTGCACCATAGGGCTCAAACAGCTCACGCAGCTGATCCTCTGACCACATCCGGGGGATCTGACCCACAAACATCTTTATAGCATCAATGTCGGGCTGGTCTGGGTGGTCCAGAGACCCATTCATCTTCTTGGTTCTACAAAAAAAATATATACATACATGCCTGTTTAACGAGCCTTAAGGACATGACCCTCAATGTCTCCAGTCTCCCTGACAGACAAAAACTAAACATTGCAAATGAAAGGATGCACACAACAATCTCATATCATTCCCAAGAATGAAAACACTAAAATTACAACTAGCTTCATTTACTAACAGTGCACCAGTGTTAGACTGACAATATATTGCTCAAGCTGATTAATTGGATGTTTGCCTTGCATTTTCTGTTCTCAGGTTAAGATGATGCGAAATAATTATTAATTTAAACAATTGTGTACATCTTATTTGCCATGAAAAAAAATACTTCTTTTACTTAACTTATTTTGCAAATGTATAACTAAGCTATTTTCTGTGAATGTGAGAGACCGCCGATTCATTAGCCGCTATAGGTCAATAATTAGAAGAATAACAGTGCAGTAAACCGTAAACTATCTGCACTACAATCCAATTATAATTACAATACATTAAAATAATACCAGTTTGCAATATCAAGCAGCATAACAAGCCGTTTCGTATACCTTAACATAACTGGAAGCCTACGACATCGGAAGCCACACACATTCAATTTACAAACGGCCACATCCGCTCAATGTTAAAAATAAGGTGGATACTAGTGATTAGTAGGGGTGCAACGAAATTCTTTTTTTTTTTTTTTAGGTAGGTCTAACAGTTTTTAGGTACAGAAATTGAATAAATCAAATGTAAAACAACATTGCATAGTTGACTGTATAAATTAAAGATTAATCCTTATTAAAGTTATTCAATCAAGAGCAGTGAGAGATTTACGTGTTGTTGCTGTTTGATTAAAGGTCCCATGGCATGAAAATGTCACTTTATGAGGTTTTTTAACATTAATATGAGTTCCCCTAGCCTGCCTATGGTCCCCGTGGCTAGAAATGTCGATAGGTGTAAACCGAGCCCTGGGCATCCTGCTTCGCCTTTGAGAAAATGAAAGCTCAGATGGCCCACTGATACTGTACATTCAGCCGACTATGTCTGCTAGGATACTCACCAAGATGGGCATTTTGACAATTTTTGTGTGAATTTGTCCATTCAAACACAATACTTCACAGAGAGCTTAATATTTGCGCGCGTTCGGAGACGCGGGTTCACGCGCTTCGGATGAGCGACCACACAGATCTTCTCACTGCGCACGCCACTTAAACTGGCCAGGCTTAAATGAGTTTAGTTTAAACACCGATAGCAACGTGTGCTGTTCAGGTCTCACCTGCGTTATCAACACGTGATGACGGCATAAATGACAGTTATTCCAGCATAAAGCACTCGCATTGATTAAAGAGTGACTGGTTTGTCCACATATTGTTATTTTTTCTCTCTCATCGCTCTTGTTGTAATGTATTGGGAAGCCAGAATTTGTATCCATCAACAGAAACATGCATTAGCCGAACTCTAACAAACCATATTACAGATGCATTGTCGGATTTAAGTTGAACCGTGGTCCTAGTGTATGCCGAACCGTGTGTGGAGAACCATACGGTTCGATTTTTTTTAACCGAGAACCGTTGCACCCCTAGTGATTAGCAATGCAAACTAGAAGAAAACAGGGTGCTAAGGCATTCACTGCATTATAAATTCTTCAGCAGTATGTGAAGATCAAACATTAGAGTAAAATCCCTACTCAAACATCTATGAATAGTCATGAATGGTTTTCTCAGGTCATGCACAAGATTTTCTAAGGTGAGAAATAACTGAAAAAAATGTTCATGAACTAATAGCTTACTACGAACTGAATTTAAAATTGTGATGAAACAGAAATAGCAACAGATCTTTTTCTTCTGTATTGTGTCATGCAACTGAGCAACAGATTATTAAAAAAAGAACAAAAATTGTTCACATTATGATCGATGATGCATTTAGAAAATAGATGGGGTGAATTTCATTCAAACTTTAATTAAAAAAAACAACAAAAACTAGACATTAAAAAGAGAGGAAAATGTCATATCTAAAAAAGAATAACCAAAGTCTGTGATGAGAATTAATTAAAAGAACATCTTCAGTTCTCAGTGCTGCTTGACAAAGTGGAGCATGAAGGCAAGCAGTGAAGGACGTCACTGACAGGCCTGAAGCACTTCTTCATCACTCTCTTTAGCAGCTGCTGATCAGTGGAGTGACAGACCACTTTAAGATAAACACAGCATTGTGCTGCTGACAAAGAGCAGCATTAGCCAGCAGCTAAAAGCCAGATTAATGGCGTTTATCGATCCGAGGACAGCAGAGCTAATAAAACCTTCTACTCTGTCGATTTCCCAGCAACCAGAACTTGTTCAGACAAGCAGATAACACAGATTCTCCAGAAGATCACCTAATCAGGGACAGAGGATCACTGGGTGTTCACTGGGGCAAAGCCATTTTAGGATTGTAAACTCTTTTTCCTAGTGAACTGACCAGTACTGACTGTAGGGAAGAAGCCACAGTCACAGCACATCAGAACACGATGTTGCAGAAGACTATCGATTCAACAAAAACAACTAAAACAGAAGAACAATCTGATATCTAGGAAGAGATAAGAAATAATCAAGATTGTAGGGCTGGGTATCAAGTTACTTTTTAGGCACCAACCGAATTGCCTCGATACCACTGAGTATCAAAAAAATCTCTTGTCGTTCAGTACCAATTTTCAATAACTAAGGGGTTAATCTAGTCAACGTCAGCCAATAAGCATGCAGCATGCTTGATGTGCTAAATCAAGTGCTGGTGATTGGCTCTGGTGAGGCATCAAGGAAAAACACCAATTTATGCCGGTTACACCCAGAGACGTGGCTCACTCGTGAGGCTGTAGTGTGTAAGCATCCCAACCCCCATAAATGTAAGGCTATGTATAGGCCTACACTTGTGCGTTTTCGTTTTAAAAAAATGTAAACAATCCTCATCCATACCGGCATTTCTGATTGCGACCTAATGTAAGTTATAGTCTTATAATGCTGTTGAAATATGTCATTTGTAGCCTTTTATATGAAGCTAATTGCTACACTTAATTTCTCAAGTAAACACACTATATTGTTATTAAAATAGGCAGAATCTCATGAAGTCATAACTGTCATAATCGTGTGTTTATTAGCTTCATGTTTCATCCATAGAAATGTTTTTCTGGGTTTATTTATGTATAGAACAGAACGCGGAAGTGTAATGGATGTTCGTCATCGGAGACAGCGGTTTATGAACACATAAAATGAGTGACATATGAGCAGCGAATGAGCTTCCTTTGAGTCCGAACAGCGATTGCGGAAGAGGAAACATACAGAGACAGTGCTCGGTGTGTAAACATAGCCTAAAAAATGTGGAAAAGATCAAAAGTGTGGCTGCATTTCACCAATGCTTGTCTGTCTTCTGAAAAAGCAGGCATGCTAATTTTCTTGAACAGCTGAGTGATTTGAATTCTTAAATATGCAGAAGTGAGCCTCACATACTGACTTGAAACTGTTCAATTTGCACTGAAAACTATTTAAACGTATTAAAATTATTTGCACTGATATATTGTGTTGGTTACATCTAGTTCCATTGCGCTTTTTCGTTCTTTTGTGCAGAGTCTTTGAGTGTGTAAAACTTCAACAAACTGAAAAATAAAACCAACATTTTTTTGAGGTAATGTAATCTTGTTAAAACAGATTTCATAAAATTGGTATTGAAAAAGTATTGTTCAGGAACCGGTATCAAATTTTTGAATGATACCCAGTCCTAAATGGTAGTCATCTCTTTCCTATCACCCCAAATTAACATGAATACCATATGAACGCTGCCTTCAATATGAAGTCTATTTAATAGCAACAATGAACTCTTTTCTGCATTCCTTACAAAGCAAACAACATATAAACAGAACAGAGAAGACAATTGACCATGGCTGAGTCAGCAGTTTCTTGCCCCGTTCTTGGTTAAATTGTTCCCTTTGAGGTTGTTAAGCCTCACACAAACAACCCTTATGACTTTAATAAGACAAAACACTGAAACGCGTTGCTGAAAAATCCTGAAACGGCAAAGAATGAACCCTTGCATTTCATATGTAAACCTATAAATAATATCAGGAGCAATACAGTCCATCCTATAACAGACAGGGGACAGCCACTCAAGATGCTCCAGCAAGGAGTGAAAACTAGGGTTTCACTTTCCATTTTAAACTGTTGACCACACCAACAAGCACTTTCTATCCTAGGCAGCAATGCAACAATTATGAAATATCCAAATCATTTCATTGTTCATTCTGAAGCATTGTGCCTTTATGTAAGGACACTGTGCTGGTGAATAAAATATGAATTCCAATACATGCTAATAGTGAAAAACAACGTTTACTACAGGATTATGTTGTAAACATGTACTAGCAGCCCTCACTGCAGGCCTCTAATGAGCATTAACTGTCATCTCCTGAATGAACCCTGAATCAAACTTGCATTCGCACAGAATACTGCCTGACATTTAAAATAGCTACTCACAACTCCAAATAAAAAGTAAACAAACCAGTTAATCATTCATAAGATTTTACTAACCACACAGATTAATAAAATTAACTATTAAAAATACAGAACATTCCACCCTAATACAGTGACCATCAATCAAAGGAGAATTGAAGGTATTAGTATGTAACCCAAATCAAGTTACACCAAGCTAAAGTCAAGTCTCTACTCGCGCTGAGCTGGAACTCAAACGGCAATGGTCCACCATCATCTCTGGCAGAAAATCCAGCTTAAAGGAAGCCATTTTCTTCAGCACTTCACTAGTCAGTAAGTCTCAAATGAATGCTGACAGAATCCATAAAAACAGACTCTCTCACACTTAAACACCAAAACAGCCACAGCGACTATCCGTCAAGTACGTCTCTCAAGGTTCAGTCATAAGTGACATGGGAACAGCTGGGTAAGAAAGGGAAGCGTGCACCTCATGGGGGCTGATCAGACTCCACAAAACTCAAATAGACATGGAGCAGAGAGAGACAACGATGAGGCTCGACACTGTGCTGGATGACAAACACAGGCCGTAGAGCTCTGGTCACTGGGCTGGGACTGAGGATTAGGATGGGCCGAACAGGCTACTAAAAGCTGAACCCCTGCTCCCACAAAGGAAAGTGCTGATGGAGGGGGACTTTTTTGTGAGTTTTTCTCTTAGCAAAGCAGAACTGAGTGCAGTGTCAGATAAATAAAGTGTCAGATTGATGCTGATAAGCGCGAGTGAGCGGCAGGAATGAATGGGGATGGGCAGCTCTCTGGTAATCCCTGAGCTGAAGCGCCCCCAGGATACAATCGGGTTCCAGCAGCGGGCCACGGGCTGTACACTATTCCAGCATGGAGGGGTGGCGGAAGGGAGGGAGGAACAGGCTGCTCAGGGTCATGCGACGTGTTATAAGCTTGCAGTCAAAGGCGACAAACAAAACAAAGCCACAGGCAGGCTGAGGTCCACTGTTTGGCTTTTAGCACAAAAACAGCAATAGACCTATGTAACAATGTAACAAATAACATTAAGTAATTACAAAAAATCTAAATGATATAGTTTATAATATGCTGATTCATTCAGAAAGAAATACACAAATCATATATATATACATTTATAAAAGAATACCCTTCTAAAACAGAGAATTAATATATCAGCAATTAATTAGAATGTAATCATTTTATTTCTTCCTCAATGGCCTGTCAGACATTCAAACTGGACATGACATCATCGCTAGCCATGCAGTGACATCTGGTGGGCTGCACACTGCAGGCATGGTTACTATTTAGAAAAAGGAGCAATAACAAAGAAAGAGCAAGTTATTTTTTTCCTTCTCATTCCAGCTTCAAAAAGAAGCTGCTTGAAAGAGGTTTCCCACTGAGGGAAAACCTGCAGGTGGAGGGTAACCTCATACCCTGGGTGGAAAGACATGAAGTGTGTGTGTTCTTACCCGCCAAGGGCAGGTACTTCCACAGCAGGAAGGGAAAGCTCACAGAGCATATGGTCAGCACAGTTCATCTAACAACAAACCCACTCTCGAACACTGGCACAGACAGACAGCACTGTGGACAAATGGAGTTATACTGAAGCATCTGGAACAACCTAGCAGCTGAGAATACAACACACACAGCTGACTGATCAGAGAGGGGGGCATAGGTGGACATTTACAAACCACCTATCAGTTGGGCTGGACAATCACACACACACACACACACACACACACACACACACACAGAGGTAAACGCATACTGAAAGGGAAAAAGAAAGAACAAGAGAGACGTTTTCTGACAGAATAGACAGCATGCAAACTGCATGTCACAAAACTGCATGCACACATAAAACACATATGTAGGACAATAAGACGGCACTTCCTGGATGATCTGAATATAATCATGTAAACGACAGACTACCATCTGAGATGAAGCTGTTCTCACTTTCATCAGAGGAAATCAGTTTGTAGAGGCTCAAACACAAAGGTTTCTCAAATTGAAAGGAAAAAAAAACACAAAAAACTGATCTACGTATTCAAACTCCACCAGATAGGAGCTTGTTAAACATTGTTAAATATATGTTAAGCCCAAAGAATAATTTCCATTTACTTTAACAAAGACAGCTACTGAACAGAGGGTGTATGACAGTTGCAACATTGTGTAAAATACTCATACCCTGTCCTCTGCAGACAGCTCTGTAACAAACAAGCTTCACATATCAGATCTGTGGTAAGCAACTATAATTGATACAGCAGTAACATAATATTGGTGTTTAGAGTACTCACATTCTGTACAACTTATCCAAATATAAATAAGCACATGGGACCAGTTGGGCCCAAAATAGGATCTCAGTTACAAAAACAACCTGAGGGACTATTTGGGGCTACATTTTAGCTACTTAAAATAACTTTCTAAATGTAACCAATGATATAATCTGTTAATTTAACCTGAGCCATGTTTTTGTGCCATAAATTTAAAAATCCCTTATAATAATACAAATAAGAGAGTTTTAAATGAAGTGACAGTATGACACTTGAAGAGATAAATTTACTTTAAATACACAAACTAGAACAGACCCTAATATAACAGAAACAAAAAAAGGATGAGCAGCACTTAACTAGATGTAAAACAGCCAACCCTAAACACAGCATAGAGATTTGAATCATTAAATCTTTTGTGTTCTTTCACATCCGAAACAAAACAATTTACTAGAATGAACCTGACTTTCCAACAACACATTTGAGTGCATCGCTGTAGCATCAGAAATACAACAGCAAATGGGGGAAAATTTTCCCAGAAAATCTACACTATTTCTAAACTACGGCAAGTCTCCCGAACTACATACTACTACTAGCAGCACCTCAGCTTTTGGTTAGCTACTCCCCAACGCTGTGCACATCAATGATTTATCATTCCTTTGAGAAACTCGTGCCATGCAGCTTTGATGTGTCTTCTGAACTTCAAAGCATAGCGAGAATGCTCCGAGAAGACCATAGGCCATGTCACGTTTTAATGACTGCTGAGTGACTATGTGGCTTATTCATGGACTGTCTATGTAAGGCAGTGTTATAGG